GGCCCCTCTTGGAGCCCGTTGGTGCTCAGGGGCGCCCTTTCAGGGCCGTTCACTTCACCCCACGTGGGCCACCCCAAAATACCACCCGCCCGACCAACGGGGCCCCCCGATCGCCGCACGCGATGAGTAGCCTCCTGCGCGCTTGTGTTTGCCCCCCCCTCCCCCCCCGCGGCCCCCAAAAGCCGCGCTCCCAGGGTCACTCTTGCCCAGGGTAACTCTTTGCGTGTAGTCGAAGGCAGATGACTGCTGCACCCCATAACGGCAGCGGAGTGCCCAGGGTCGGCCAAAGGGGTTGGCCAGGAGGGTTGGCCTGGCGATGTTGGCCTTGGGGTTGGCCGGGGTCGCCCGGAGGGTCGGCTGGGGCAATTTTGCGATGGGCAGTTTTTCGTTTCGTATGGAGTCTGATCGTGGTCGATGGGATCTAGAGGTCTGGTGCAGTCAGCCCGCATAGTAAGGGGTGGCCAACCTTCCCAAGGGTGCCCCTGCATCTTTGCCCCTTCGGCCCATCCTTAGCGACTTTCGCTGGCCTTCTTCGCTCGAAAAACGCGAACATGGCCCCCCGAGGCCCTTGCATCCTTATCGCGCATCCTTATAATACGGGTTGACTGTATCAGGGGAGGAAAAACCACCTGGACTGGACAATTGCCGCTAACTGAACGGCCCTGGGCGTTTACCAAGCAGCCCTGCCCTGTCTGATGCCTTCTTTGGGTGCGCTTGCTAAACGGCTTCGCGTGTCGTGGTGGTTATTGTCGGGTCGGAGTTTCTGCCTTCTACTGTAGTGATCGGGTGTGCCGCCACGATTCTTTCACAGCGCGGGGATAGCGAGTCTGGACAGGAGCCGGGCCTGCCCGCTGCCGAATGCCCGGGCCCTGGTGGGCCCGCTCTGCGCCATGGGGTCGTCTAAGGGAGCAGCGCGGAGCTCGAGCCAAAGGTTCTAGACTTGTGATGTTCCAGCCTACTCTACGCTTGACCACCAGAAAGCATTTCGAGCACCAAAACAGTACCGAAACTCGAGGGTTTTCGGGTGTCGTGCCCTGGGAGACGCTCGTCCGACACTGTTTCGACACTCTTTCGACACTTTTCTGGGTGCTTGAAATGATTTCTGGGATCTGGTCCTTAAGTACGACGGGGCAACATAGTTCTAGACCTCCTAGATGGGGTCGGAGCAGATGGGGTCGGAGGATCGCGCCGCATCGCCGATGCATCGCCGATGCGGCTCGATTTGCAGCACGATCTGCTTCACGTCGATTACACCGATGCGTCGCCAATGCATCGGCGATGCGGCGCGATCCTCCGACACCAGTTGCTCCGACCCCATCCAGGAGGCCTCCGAAGATGGGCTCGAAAGCTCCGAGCCAACCCGCTCACCCACCACCTTGGCATCGCTCGGACTTGGGTTTTTTTTCTTGGTGAGGGTCGTCGAGGAGCACCTTCACCGCCCACCAGACCACCCCGATCCAACCCGAAGGCCCCGACTTGCCCTCCATTCCCATGTGTGGTGGGGGGGGTTCGGGGAACAGTTGAAAAACCACATATGAGGCCCGTACCAACCCGAAATTCGCCTCCATTCCCAGTGTGGGGGGGGGGTCGGGGAACATTTGAAAAACCACATCTGAGGCCCGTACCAAGCCGAAATTCGGGTCTTCGGGTTGGGTTGGGGTGGTCTGGTAGGTAGTCACGCCTTGGATCACCGAGCAGAGAAGCCAACACGCACGAGGCCGAAGGATGCACGGGGAATGGACACGTCCGAGCGATGGCGCGCCACCACCAACCCTCGACATGTGGCAACCGCGGGCCCAGGACCGTGGTGGATGTGCCACCAGGGCGACACCGGGAGGCGTGTCCACCACAGTTCTGGGCCGAAGCATGCCTCGGCACGATCGGCGTGGAGACGGGAAGCATGGCGGCGAAGATTGGCAGCAGTTCCTGCCCATTTTGAACATGCCACGCTGTCGGTGTCACCACGGCCGTTCCCACGTCAGGCAAGCAGTCGCCTGCCCACCAGCGACCACCGTCCATTTGGGACAACGTCTGTTGTTGGGCGTACCCAGTTTTGGTCCGTAAACATCTCGGGCGTGCCAAGTGTATCCCGAAGGTTTGTTGGTCGACATCGTCTCCCTCAGATCGGCGGCGAGCGAGGGGGGAAGTGAGAAGGAGCTGGCCTTCTCAGAAGGCGGCGGGACTTCTCCAGCGCCCTCGTGCCTTCTGGGAAGCTTTTGTGGTGCTTTCGGGAAACTTCTCGGAAGGCCGGGGGGCGTCTGCGCCTCCTGGGAAGGTCCTCTCCTTCTCGCTTCCCCCCCTCGCTCGCCGCCGAGCATACAGTGCCGTTTTTAATACATGCTCCGCGTGCGGATCATGTATTAAAGATGCAGGGATTTAGTATTAAACACAACGATGGGTTCATGCATAAATTGATTCATACATTGATCATGTATTAAAAATCCTATACTTTTAAAATCCCATGTATTAAAAACTGCCCTGTAAGCTGTTCGCCGCGTCCTGCCACGCTCGCTTCCCTCCCGCCATCCGCCTCCTCCCGGTCCTTGGCTCGGCGTGGCGACGCCCAGGCCCCGTCTTGTGCTCGCCCTCGCCTGCCTCCTCTGCCTCCTCCTCCTCCTGCCTCCGCCTGCGCCAACCTCCTCCTCCTCCTCCTCCTCCTCCTCCTCCTCCTCCTCCTCCTGCTTCCCCTTCTCCTCCTCCTCCTCCTCCTGCTTCCTCCTGGCTTCTCGCCCCCCCCCACCCACCCACCCCCGACCTCCTTCCCCTACCTGCATCCCCCTCCTCATACCCCTCCTCCTGCAATATCTACTTCCCCGCCTCCTCCTGCTCCTCCTGCTCCGTGTTCCCTTCTAGTCTGCACCGTCACTATGGCACCTAAACGGCCGCGTGCCAGTCAAGATTGCTTACACCGACAGTGCAGCATCTAGTTTCCCCATCAACGTCGACGTTTTGCCGCCAGCGTTGCAGAAGCCATGGCCAGGCTGGGACGCGGCGCACATCTTTGGCAAGCAATCGACATGCTGGTGCGGCGCATACTTACGCTCGCCAATCCGCCGCGGCGATGGGGGTCAAGGGCGAGCGGGAGAAATGCAGTTCTCGCCCAACCGTTGCGCAGATGTTGTCTGAACGTGGCGCTCCCGCCTGAGCACGGCACGCACGTTTCATTCGCCCACTCGTTGGGAGCGGGGCGAGAATGCGCGTGAATGGGCGACTTGTTGCCCTCGCCGAGGCTCCGTACAGAGGTCGCGCGAAACCACGCTCCGCTCGTCACCGCCCACCAAGCCACCCCAACCCAACCCGGAGGCTCAGGTTTACCAACGATTTCTAGTGGGGGGGGGGTCCCCCCTCCTCCTCCTCCTCCTCTCCTCCTCCTCCTTCCTCCCTCCTCCTCCTCTCCTCCTCCTTCTCCTCCCTTCGACAGAGCGGGGGGGGGGGTCTGGGAACATCGAAAAAACACCCATGGAGCCCCTACCCCCCCCAACCCGAAAAATTCGGGTCGTCGGGTCGGGTGGGGGTGGTCTGGTCGGTAGTCAGCTTGGGCGTGGCGCATACTTGTCGCTCGCCGAGTCGCCAGAATGCGCGCGAGCAGGCGAAATATTGTACTCGCCCAGGCACCGCAAGGCTGTTGCGTGGACGTGGCAGTGCTGCTTCGGCACGACGCACCCCTTGCCTTCGCCATTGCCATATGTGTCTTTCTGCTGCGCGAGAGGGGTCGGTGGTGCCTCTCGCCGCAGCCGTGCGCAAGTATGTTCTGTTGTTCCGCTTTTCCGCCCGCGCGCGGCTCGTGCTGTGCCCCGTGTTAGCAGTGCCGTTTGGGGGCGAGGCCGCGCGCGAGGGCCCCCCCGCTCGCGTGGTGAGCACGTGCGCCAGTCGAGATCCTACGTTGCGCTAGCATTGGTTCTCATGTCACGGGGCGGGGCTTGGCAGGCCCCGCTGACTCGATCACCTGCCGAATTGGACATCCCACCCCTCCTCCTGCCCCAACCCCCCTCTCTCTCCCCCCTCACCGCCTGCCTGCCTCTCCTGTTCCATTTCGGAGGTACCCCTCCTCCCCCAGCTCCGCCTTGCCCGTCCTGCACTCCACCTTTCGAGCATCTCGCCTTGCAGCGCCTCCGCCGCGCCGCGCAGTTCTATCTATCATGGCGGTGTGACGCATCGACGAGAGCAGCGTGCACAATTGATTGCCAGGGGTACGTCTTGGCAGTATTTCTGCCTTCGCTGTAACCTTTTCGACGGGGGGGGGGGCGCTAAGCATCCACCCGCACGGCCAGGCCACTTCTGGGCCCAGGATGGGTCGATCACAATCGGCGTTTGCTTGCGCGCGCGCGTGCGTGCGTGCGTGTGTGTGTGTGTGTGTGTGTGTGCGTGTGTGGTGTGTGTGTGTGTGTGGATGTCTTCGTGTGTGTGTGTGTGTATGTGTGCGTGCGTGCGTGCGTGCGTGCGTGCGTGCGTGCGTGCGTGCGTGTGTGTGTGTGTGTGCGTGTGCGTGTGCGCGTGTGTGTGTGTGTGTGTGCGCGCGTGCGTGCGTGCGTGCGTGCGTGCGTGCGTGCGTGCGTGCGTGTGTGTGTGTGTGCGTGTGTGTGTGTGTGTGTGTGTGTCTCCGTGTGTGTGTGTGTATGTGTGCGTGCGTGCGTGCGTGCGTGCGTGCGTGCGTGTGTGGTGTGTGTGTGTGTGTGTGCGTGTGCGTGTGTGTGTGCGTGCGCGCGTGTGCGTGCGTGCGTGCGTGCGTGCGTGCGTGCGTGTGTGTGTGTGTGTGCGTGCGTGTGTGTGCGTCGTGTTTGCTCGTGTGTGTGTGTGTGTGCGTGTGTGTGTGTTGTGTGTGTGTCTCCGTGTGTGTGTGTGTGTGTGTCAACGCCGCCCTAGTACCCTTGGACTCGCTGCGTTGACACCAACCAGCCGCCGTCGAACAGGAAAGTGTGTGCGTGTGTGTGTGTGTGTGTGTGTACGCACGCGGCTTAGATCCTCCACGCAAGGCGGTCAGTTCATGCTGAATGGCACGCTAGACGAGAAGTATGGCTGTGTTCGTGTGTGTTGGGCAGGCTTTCGCCAGGGCGCAGTCGAAGCACAGGCGATTGCACTCTGCGCTGGTGCTCCCCCGCCAGCCGAGCATCTGCCAGTGCTTCGACGCCGCGTAGGAAGAGCCAGTCCCTGCCAGTGCGTGCGGACAGGGTGGTTGGCGCCCCCCCGGGATGGTGTCTACCGCGGTGTCCTTTTCACCCGCCCGCCGCTTTTATGAGAAAGCTTGGCTGTTTTTTAGCTGCTCGCGGCCCCCAGGCCGTGGAGCGCCCCAAGCCCTGTGCACTGGGGAGCGGGTGGAGCAGGGGGAGGGTGGGGGGAAGGAAGAAGACGAATGGGGGCGCCGCAGGTTGAGAGCGGGAGAGGAGGCATAGAGTGCCGGGAGAGGCATGCGCGGGGGGAGAGGGTGCGGATGCCGAGGAGGAGGGATGAGGAAGAGAGGGAATATTGCGCCCTAGCCGGGGCAAGATTCGACACCATGCTTGATTTTTACCTTGTTGCTGACCTCGAGCAGTGGCGAAGCGTCTTGGCTTTCCTGTCGGCCCACCAAAGAATGTTCTAATAACCGTTTGAGGTCTGCACGACATGTTCTTAGAACATTTGTGCCTGGGGCTGTCGTGGTTTGGCACAGCGGGCTCATATTGTAAGAACATTGATTTTGTTCATAGATTTTTGGGGGGTTCTACGAACATGTCGTGGTAGGCCTATAGGAATGCCGGGACGGCCGGTCCCTGCTCAATGACCAGGGAGTTGCCCGATTTGTGGCGAATGAGAGCATTGGGGGGAAGGAGGGGGAGGATGAGGAGGAGGCTCAATCCTCAAGGAGACGACTCGAGCGATTGCTCCAAAGGTCGCGTGGTCGAAAGGCTTCTTGGGAAAACCCTTTTGAGTTCCCGGGCGAGAAGTAGCGAAAGGTTCAAGACGCAGACGCCGCCCGTACGTTTTGGCGAATTCGTGAGTCACACGTGTGACTAGTGGCACCTGCCCGTATGTACGGTTGACGGCACGGCACCAGCGGCCGCACCCGCAGGCACAGCATGTCAGGCAGAGGAGAGGACAAGGTAGTGTGCAGAGGACAGGAACCAGGTGCAGACGAGCTGAACGGCACACTTGTTCCAACGGTTTGCTCAGCATACTTCAAGGTGCAGCCTGCATATGCAATCGAGTTGATGTCCGTGCACCGCAGGACGTCTGGCCACGCGGAGCCGCGTGAAGTGGCCTTGCAGCCCTTCTCTGCGTGCGTGCCAGAAGCGTACTTGTGCAACGGGTGGAATCCACCCTGGAGTGCATCAGGACCTGGTTCAGTGGTTCCCACGAGCTCACACTCAAGTAATGCATGGCTTCGTCGATCCAACGATGGTTCGCCGTGGCACGCGGCAGAAGCGCTTTCTCACGAGCATGCGCGTACAGCAAGCCCATGCCATCATCCCAGCGGTCCACGGGGTGAGGCAGGATGATTATGCGGCCGCCGCATGGATCCTACTTGGATGTACTCTCTTCACGGACACGGGTGGCCGTTCGAACCACTCGTTGTGCATCGAATTGTGCGTGCTGTGTGCTGTAGTTCTGCTGCCGAGGTGATCACTTTGGACGAAGAATCAAGGGAAGCTGCAACGATGCTGGCATCCAATCTCGCAGGCCTAGAGGTTTACACCAACACCAATTTCGGCGGTGTGCCTCCACCGGGGGAAGAAGATCCCGATCTCGGTGGTGGTGGTAATGTTTTGGCTTCCAAGGTGGCCGAAATATTACCACCAACACCGAAATCTAGGATCAGCTCCCCCCTATGGAGGCAGCCCCCTGTCTTGGTGCTGGTGCCCATTTCCAGGCCTCCAAAAGCTGCAACGATGCTGGCATCCAATCTTCGGCGGTGGGCGAGGGGGGCAAACGAGAAGGAGACCGGCCTTCTCGGAAGGCGGCGGGACGTCTCGGAAGCCCTCGCGCCCATGGAGAAGTCGTCGCTGTCGTCGGGGAAGACTCAGAGAAAACTTCTATCAGAGGGCCGGGAGGCTTCCGAGCCTCCTGCGTCAACGGCACCGTAACGGGTACATACTAACGGGTACTTTGCAATTCTGCCGAAAGTTGCCACTTTAGGGCCTCTTTCTGGCAATGCAGCGTTGCCCGCATCGGGAAGGGCTGGGTTCGCTGGGTCACTGGCCAAAGTACCCGTTAGTGGAGTCCCCGTTTGTGGGGCGCTGACTGCGAAGGCCCGCCCCTTCTCCATTCCCCCCCCAGGGGCGCGCCGCGGAGCTCTGTCGCGTGGACCGCGCGGCGGAGGTGTATGTTTCTCGGGGCCTGCCGGAGCAGGAGGGCCCCGAGCGCCGCGGCCGGCCCGAGAGCCTGCGACGCGGTCGCGCCTTCGCGCGCCGTTGGCGTAGAGCACACCGCGGCGGAGAGCACACCCCGTCGCGCGCCGCTGCACGACTCCGCGGGGCGAGCTCTGCGGAGGGACGCGCGCGGAAGCCGCGGGTGCAGATCAGGTGATTTCGAGCCCACGCCATTCGGTCGCAGAGTTCTCGCAGTTGTTTGATGCAGCAGCTACTCCAGCGAGCGCGCAGACGCGCCGATCTGCACGCCGCTGCGCTCGTCCATGGGCTGCCCGCAGCCTGGGACTCCGACCGACTGATCGCGCGCCCCTGCATCGGCGGCACGCGAGGAAGTGGGAAGGAGAGGGCCTCCTCAGCAGGCGGCGGGACTTCTCAGACGCGCTCCGGCCTCTGAGAAGTGTTCTGCGTCTTCGGGTTGGCTTACAGTCGAGGCCCTGAAGAAGGAACCCTTTTCGTTGGGGAGGGGCTCCGCGTTCCTTAAGTGTTTCGCAGCTTGCCTCAGGTGTTCCTTATGTTTTCGATCGGAAATCGAAGTTTAACTTATGGAAAAGAGGGGCCTCGTTCCTTATTTTTGGTTCCTTAGTTCAAGACCCCGACTGTCGAGAAAACCTTTTATAAGGCCAGGGGACTTCTGAGCCTGCTGAGAAGGCCTTTTCACTTCCCCCCCGGGCTCGCCGCCGATCCGAAGAGGAAGAGGTACCCGTACTGCTACCCTTCGCCCGTTGTCCCCTGCCTGGGCCTCCTCGGAGGCTCTCCCGTCGCCGCCGTCAGATTCGCCCCGAGATCCTGCTACCCTCGTCAAAATTAACCTCAACAGTTGCGGGCACGTCATTTCGATTTCGGCGCGCCCCTCAATGTCGACACGCCGCCCCTTCAATGTCGGGGCGAGGGCAGAGATAGTCTGACCGAAGTTGACTCGAAAGTTTGACGTCGACCGACATTGGAGGGGCGGCGCATGCAAGTACCCCGCACTCATCGATACTCGGCCCCAGATCTTTCGACAAGCGGTTCCGACACGTCAGACATTTTTGAGGTTAATTTTGACGAGGGTTGTGGTCAGAACGCACCTCGGGAGAGGTCCGGGGAGCAGCGGCGTCGGTACCTTTGGAGCCTGTTTTTTTTCAGACCCCGGCAAGTTTACCTGCATGGGCATGTGTGTGTGTTGTGTGTGTGTGTGTGGGTGGGTGGGTGGGGGTGGGGGGGGGGGGCTGGACCTGAAGCAGGCCGCACACGACTGGCACGTGCGGAGATTACGCAGGTCGGAAGGCACTTGCACGCTAGCATTCGTTTGAAGAGGGGCGAGGGGGTGGGGGCGAACGCCCCGCAAGTAAGCTTGCCCGAATCGAAGGTAACCCAAAAAACAAACTCTTGGTTTCCCCAATTACACCCCCGATTCGGCCACGGCCTCTTCTTTTCAGGCTCCAGAGCGACTGCCGATGCAGTCTCGAGCGGATTCTTCGCTCCTCAGGAGGCAGACGCCCAACTGTATTCAAGAGCCGGGGTGCGCCGCGAGAATGGGCGGTGTCGTTTCCGAGACACGCTCCTCGAGCGAACCGTATATGTTGGTGACGTGCTCTTTTTCGTACACTGGGGATGTGGAGACTAACTCCTCGGGCTCCTACACCTACACCTGACAGCACGTGAACGGCTCGGGCTGTTGCCACAATATGCGGTAATCATGCGTGAATCCCGGACATACGCTGCATGTGCAGTTGCATGTGGGGGGGTGCGTTTGGGCTGAGGCTTCTCGGTCGGTGACGCTTCCGTCTTCGCCCGCTCCAATCGTTCGGCCAGTTCGCGAGCGATGTCCCACAGCTCCTGCGCTTGATCCTGAAAGCATAGAGAATTCCGGCAGCAGAATGTTCGCGTGAGCGATCGAGCGCACTAATGTCTGAAATAAGGACGCGGTGTGCCGAACAGGCTGGCAAGTTCTCTCCCGAAAGATTATTCTCGATTTCAGCCAGGCGCTCCTTGGCATCACTCTCCGAGTATCAGATTCGGTTGGGCAAAAGATCAATCCCTGGAGCTGAAACGTGACCCGAGCCCGCCGTGCTTGCGCCAGCCCACGTCGCCGTCATGCCGCTTTCCACGCGCGGTGGACTCACGACAGGCAGCTCGCGCCAAGGATGAAGTGGCGAACGCAGCTGGCGCCCGCAGAAATAAAGCACCACCCACCACCGACAGCGTCGGCGACGCCTCGGCTGCAGCGGCGCGATGCAAGCAAGTGCGGCGGCCTGGCCGGTGCTGTGGACGACCGAGGTTCGATTGCGTCAACTCTCACCGGCAGCCCAAGCCCGCGGGGACGCCTTGCAGGCGCTTTGAGGCGAGGTAGTGGCCCTCTTCGGGCCTCTCCTGGTGGCTGGACCTGCGCGGACATTCTAAGCGGCCCATCTCGGACGGGCTCCGTCCCGCGGCGGCCCAACCAGGAAGAGCCGCGCACGCCGCGCGGGGCCAAGTACAGGGCCACTGCGGTTGGGCGGTGCTGTCTGGTTCCCCGGGGCACAGCGGGTGGCTGCTCCGAAAGGTAAAGGCAGGGAAAGAGAGAGAGAGAGAGAGAGAGAAAAACAGAGAGAGAGAGAGAGCGGGGGTGACCATGCCAGCGGCGCGCTGGCCAGAACACCGTCGAGGTGGTCAGAGGCGGCCCCTGCGAAGACCTGCGCTGACCAGCGCCAGCAGATCCCCGAGCAGAACAGCAGCGCCAGAATCCCGACCGGCTGGCGACGGGTGGGGCGATGCCGTCCGCGTCTGCCCCTGGCCTGGCAGGACGGCGCAGCCCCGGGCGCCAAGAGCGCTAGAAGGAGTGGGAGGTGAGACGGGCCGCCTCCTTCTCCCGACTCCCCTTCTCGCGGCCGTCGCGGCCGCCTCCTCGTCCTCCTCCTTGTGCTGTCTTGGCCCGGCTTCTCCTCCTCGTCCTCCTTGGCCTCTTCGGGCGACAGAAGAGGGTGGGCGGTTGCAGCTCCCACTTTCCTCTGAGGTGGCGTGGAAGCACCCTGATCCCAGGACTCCTCATGATTTGCTGCGGCCTAGGGAGAAGAGCATTGGGAAAAGGAGGAGTCTGATGAGAAGGACAAGGAGGAGGAGGAGGAGGAGGAGGAGGAGGAGGAGGAGGAGGTGGAGGAGGAGGAGGAGGAGGAGGAGGAGGAGGAGGAGGGTTAGCAGGGGGGGGAGGACGGCTGCGACGGCGCCGCGGCTCGGGCGGGGGAGGAGGAATGGGAGGAGAAGCAGCTGCGTCTGCAGACACCAAACCCGGCAGGAATCGGAATCAGGAAGGAGGAGGAGGAGGAGGAGGAGGAGGAGGCGGAGGAGGAGGAGGAGGAGGAGGAGGAGGGAGGAGGAGGAGGAGGAGGAGGAGGAGGAGGAGGAGGAGGGAGGAGGAGGAGGAGAGGAGGAGGAGGAGGGGAGGTTAGCAGGGGGGAGAGGACGGCTGCGACGGCGCCGCGGCTCGGGCGGGGGAGGAGGAATGGGAGGAGAAGCAGCTGCGTCTGCAGACACCAAACCCGGCAGGAATCCGGAATCAGGAGAGGGGAGGAGGAGGAGGAGGAGGAGGAGGAGGAGGAGGAGGAGGAGGAAGAGGAGGAGGAGGAGGAGGAGGAGGAGGAGGAGGAGGAGGAGGAGGAGGAGGAGGAGGAGGAGGAGGAGGAGGAGGAGGAGGAGGAGGAGGAGGAGGAGGAGGAGGAGGAGGAGGAGGGGAGGGGGAGGGGAGGGGAGGGGGAGGGGAGACACCGAGAAGTTGAACCCAGGAGGAGGAGGGGGAGGAGGAGGAGGAGGAGGAGGAGGAGGAGGAGGAGTAGGAGGAGGAGGAGGAGAAGGGACATGAGGTCGAAGGATTAGGAGCGGGAGGGGGGGAGGGGAGGATGAAGGAGGGAGGGAAAGAAGCCTGGGGAGGAGGAGGGGAGGGAGGAGCCATCTCCGAATCGGGGCCCCGCCTCTCGCGGTCACGCACCCGCCTCGCCCTCGGTGTGCGTCGGCGAGGTGTCGGTGTGAGCAGAGAGGTCGTGCCGCAGCACCGGTACTGTGGAGGCCCATGCCAAGACACACCCTGCTTGCCTCCAGGGTGCCTTAGGCTTGTTGGGTTTTGATGGCTTTGCTGTGGAAGGCGTGGCGTGCCCACACCAAAAGTCGATTGACGCCCTGGGGTCTCAGGGTTGGGTTTCTTGTGGAAGGCTCCTTGTGGACTGGCCTCCACTGTACCGGCGGCGAGCGAGGGGGGGGAAGTTCGAAGAACAAAACAAGGCATAGACATAATTTTGGGCGCTCCGCGCGGATCTCTTGGATCTGCGCTGGGACCCCCCTGGCGGCGCTTCCGGCGCCGCCCCTGGTGCGCTCCGCACGCCAGGGAGGGGGGTCCAGCGCAGATCCAAGAGATCCGCGCGGACATCCAAAAGTTTATGTTCATGCCGTTTTCCCTTCCACTAGAAGTGAGAAGGAGCGGGCCTTCTCAGAAGGTTCGGAAGTCCCCTGGCCTTTTGAGAAGTTTTCTAAGCCTGCCCCGAAGACACGGGAGCACCTCTCAGGAGGCGCGAGGGCTTCTGAGAAGTCCCGCCGCCTTCTGAGAGGGCCTTCTCCTTCTCACTTCCCCCTTCGCTCGCCGACGACGATCTTTCTGCGACGCGGTGCGATCTGGAGGATCAGCCTGATTGCGGGGCCTGGGGCTATCCTTCGTCTTCGGCTTGTTGTCGTCAGTCCCCGAGACGTGTCCCGGATGGCCCAGTCAGCGAGCTAGGCGCGCGTCGGAGCTATTCGCGGAGATAGCGCGTGACCCCGCTTGCCCCTAACTACTCCTACCCCTTCCACGGCCTCATCATCCTCCACCTTCTCTCAATCCCTCCGTCATTCCTCCCTCCTTCTGCCACCCCCTGGTCGTAGAATCAAGAAAATCTCCCCAGAGGGCTCGCTCGTTTTCGTGTGTGTGTGTGGGCAGCACTCACATTGATATTTGAATCAATCCATCTCTCCCCTCCCTCCATCCTCATTATCTCCCACCCTCCCTCCTCCCCCCGTAGCCGTCCCAGGCCCAGGCGGGCTTAGCTACCTCGAACTTTGGGGCGGCGTTCTGAGACAGCGAGCCAGCTGGCTCCACCCCCACCACGTTCCGTCCATGTGGCCTCGCGGATCATCCACGGGCGGCGCTCGCGGCTGGGGTGGCAAGGGTGACTA